TACCAACACATTGCTCTAATGCCCGGAGGCATGAATCCTTCAGAAGCTAAACCAATCAAATTATGGTTTCTTCAAAGGAACATTCTGTGAGGTAAGTGTGTGAGGCTATTTCCTCTAGTTTCCTTGTTTTTGTCTCCCCTGTTGGCTTTCAGTTTCCCTAGAGACTCCTTCTTAAATAGTCTGAGTCTGGCAGTTATTTAAGTTGTAATCCCCTGTTATTATACAGGAGCCCTTTGATGTGGTAGTAAAGTGAAGGTTGGGGAGGAATTGTTCTTAAACCCATGATTAGGTCTCCATGGTTTGGTGGTCTATGCTACTTGGCCCTGACCTCCAGTGCTTTTCAGCTCACCCTCTCCTTAAGTGAGACAAGAGGTATAGTGGGGGCTAAAAAAAGGTATTTCCTTCCCCCACTTTGGTCCATGTTGGTTAAGTACTGCTAAGATAGATTTCCTTGAGGGCAGACCTTTGTTAAGGAGAAAAGAAAGCTCTGAGCATGTTTCAAAATGGTTACTTCTCTGTTCACCCCATCATGCCCTCCAAACAGGAGTGGATTTTTCTCCACTCTTCAGCCTGGGAACCTGGTGGAATGCCTAGTGATAGTAACACATCTTGACAATGTGGGCATCTTTGTAAGGCTGGGGTTCAGGAGTTTTCATCTCTCAAGCCAGTTTTTGTTCAGTCTCCAACAATTAGTCAAATAGCTTTAAATTAGTCCTCCCAGTGGTAGTATGTACTGCCATGAGTACTGAGGATCAGAAGAAATACTTATGTTCCATGATGATTCAGATATAGTAGCTTTAACAACTTTAAATCCCATCTACTCAGTTTAATTCTTTTTTTTTAAATTTTTTTGAATGTTTTTTTAATTTTTGAGACAGAGAGAGACAGAACATGAGCAGGGGAGGGGCACAGAGAGGGGAGACAGAATCTGAAGCAGGCTCCAGGCTCCAAGCTGTCAGCACAGAGCCTGACGCGGGGCTCAAACTCACAGACTGTGAGATCATGACCTGAGCCGAAGTTTGATGCTCAACCGACTGAGCCACCCAGGCGCCCCTATTCAGTTTAATTCTTGAAAATAAAATTTAAAATGAACAGTATATATTTTCCGATCAATATCTTAAACATTCACATCTTTTTGTGTGTGCATGACCTAACTTGTACTTTAATAAAGACTTCGAAATGTGGGGTGCCTGGGTGGCTCCATTGGTTAAACATCTGACTCTTGATTTCATCTCTGGTAATGATCTCATGGTTTGTAGGATAGAGCCTTGTGTCAGGCTCTGTGCTGACAGCACACAGAGCCTGCTTGGGATTCTCTCTCCCTCTCTCTCTGTCCTCCCCACCTCAGAATACATAAACATTAAAAAAACATAAAGAAAGAAAAGGGGCACCTGGGTGGCTCAGTCGGTTAAGTGTCCGACTTTGGCTCAGGTCACAGTCTCATGGTTTCTGAGTTCATGAGTCGTCTATGCTGACAGCTCAGAGCCTGGTGCCTGCTTCAGATTCTTGTCTCCCTCTCTCTCTGCCCCTCCCCTGTTCATGCTCTGCCCCTCTCTCTCTCGAAAATAAATAAAGATTAAAAATTTGTTTTAAAAAAAAGAAAGAAAAAAAGACTTGGAAATGTGAGTTATATTTCTCAATATTAAACTGTTTCTAAACATATTTACCAATAAAATAATATGCCAACTCCTTAGCAGAATATGTAGGATCCTTCACAATTGGAATCTAATTTCTCTTGTAAGCAATATCTTCCTAAATTTTTGTTCCCTTATTTCTGTCTTCAATGAAGACAACTGAAAGAGAAACCAAACCAAATAGCTCTTCATTTCCTCAGCTTGTCATACCCTTACTATTCGGCCTCTGCTACTGTTTGCTACCTCTACCTGAATTACTTAAATTCACACCTACCTCTTCCACACTTCCTGCTTCACTGAGGAAATTTCTATTCATCCTTTAAAATCCATCCCACGTATGGAGCCATTAAAAATTTCCCTAGAGCAACTGTATCCTTTGTGTTTACAAAACAATTTGTCAAAAACTCTTCTAGAATCCTTATAATAAAAAAGGTATATACAATATAGGGTTTTGAAACTACAGAAAAATTTAGATTATCACTGTGTTATTTTATCCCATATTATCTGAAAAGAATTTTTCAAATTTTGACACTTATATAAAATATAAAATTCATATAAAAATGTAAAATATAAAAATACAAAGTAAAATATTTTAAAAATTGTCTTTAGTAAAATCAGAAATGTATTACAATCAAAGATGCACATTTCAAAGAAGAGAGGTTAGAGAGGGAGGGAGCCAAAACATAAGAGCCTCTTAAAAACTGAGAACAAACAGGGTTGATGGGGGGTGGGAGGGAGGGGAGGGGGGGTGATGGGTGTTGAGGAGGGCACCTGTTGGGATGAGCACTGGGTGATACTTGTATGGAAACCAATTTAATAATAAATTTCATATTAAAAAAATGCACATTTACCATTTCACTGTTATGAAAACTGACAGTGAGGCTTTTAATTACATATTTTCTTATTGTTATTAATTGTATAATTCATTCTTGTGTGTCCACTAATAGGCAGGTGCCATGTCTTTATATCCTCCTCTGAACATATCATGGTTTGAATGATATATAGCGAATGATATATAGCAAACATATAAAAGATTTGATATGAAACACTAAAGGATACTTAATTTTCTTTAACGGACTTTGTAGAAGTGTAATTGACATATATAATGAAATATACCAACTTCAATGAACAATTCAGAGAGTTCTGACAAATGTAGTCAGTTATGTAACTACCACCCACCAAAATCATCACATAACATTTCCATCGCCTCAAAACATTCCCTTGTGTCCCTCTGCAGTCAACTGCTTCCTTCTATTTTCAGTTCCTGGCAACCACTGGTCTACTGTCTCTATAATTTGTGTTTTCTAGAATTTCATATAAATAGAAACAAAGAATATGTTTGTGTTTGGCTTCTTATACTTGGCATAAAGTTTTGAGGCCAAGCCATCCATATGGTTTAGTGTTGTCAATAGCTCATTTCTTTTTATTGCTGAACAGTATTGATTGTGGAAATAAATCCTCTGTCACCAACTGATGGACATCTGCAGTTCTGTTTTGTGGTGTTATAAATAATGTAGCTAGGAACATTAGTGTAAAACTCTTCATATGAACTCAGGTTTTCATTTCTCTTGGGTAAATTTCCAGGAACAGAAATGCTGGATTATATGGTAAATCTATGTTTAACTTTAAAGAAACTGCCAAACTGTTTCCAAAGTTGGTGTACTAGTTTGCACTCTCACCAGGAACGTATGAGATTTAAGGAGTTTTGCTTCTTGCCCTCATTTGGTATTGTCACTTTTTTTTTTTTAAGTGGAGCTATTCTGTGTGTGAGCAGTAGTTCACTGTGGTTTAATTTGCATTTCACTGATGATTGAACATCTTGTCAAGTGCTCATGTACCATCTGTGTATCTCCTTTGGTGGAAGCGTGTAATCAAATATTTTGCCTCTTCTTTTTAATCAGATTGTCTTCTTACTACTGAGTTATTAAAGTTCTTTATATATTCTTGATAGGTCCTTTATCAAATATATATTTTACAAAAGACTGTGTCTTGTTCTGTCATCTTCTTTAGAGTCTCTCTTGAAGAGCAAAGTCTTTAATTTTCATGATGTTCATCAATTTTTATATTTTATGCTTCGTATGGTTTTGTGACCCATCTAGGAAATTTATTGTTATTATTTAAACAAAGTTGTGGCAATTTTCTAAGATAACTGCTTCTGTTACTTATCATATTTCTATTAAAGTGTTATTAAAGTGACTAGTTACAAAAACCTATTAAATAAAAATCACAGATAGTTAAAAATCAGGACCAAATCTTTTAAAAGATGTAAAGAGAAACAGAGTAATATAATGTATTTCTTATGTATTTGTTTCTTCTGCTAAAGACAATCATTACATTTATTTTAAAAAACTGCAGCTGCTCATATAATGCATAAGAGACATGGTCGAAGTGATTTTTATGATTTTCAACTTATCCCCTTAAAGGAAAGAGGCAGATCCTACTTCTTTTTCCTCGTTCTGGGATACAGAGGGTGAGTCATCCTGGACAATGAGGACAACATGCTAAGGACAACAGAGCAGTAAAACTGAAGAAACAGGAGTTTTAAACCCCATGGAGCCACCATAACTTTCCTAGCACCAATTTAAACCACGTAATAGCAGATCATAGATGCAGCAACCACACCCATGCTCCAACCGATAAAATGGGACCTCACTTAATGCACTTAGAGGAAATACTGTAACGTGAAGCAATCACGGAGTGAGTGCCTGGCTGGCTCAGTCATTAGAACATGCAACTCTTGATTTCGGGTTTGTGAGTCTGAGTCCCACGCTGGGTGTAGAAATTACTTAAAAATAAAACTTCTAATGGGGGTCTGGGTGGCTCAGTTGGTTGAGAGTCCAACATGGGCTCAGGTCATAACCTTGCCATGCACGAGTTCGAGCCCTGCATCGGGCTCTGTGCTGACAGCTCAGAGCCTGGAGACTGCTTCAGATCCTGTGTGTGTCTCTCTCTGCCCCTCCCCCACTCATGCTCTTGTTTGTCTCTCTCTCTCAAAAAAAAAAAGATAAATAAAACATTAAAAATTTTTTTGAAAAACTTAAAAAAAAAAGAAAAAATAATAAGGCAACCAGCATGGTGCAAGACACAGAGTAAACATGACAGTATTAGCTACTATACTATAGGACAAATTTAAGAGATTCTCCAAGAGAAAAATTCATGAAGCAGTATTCTTTATAAATATTGCCTTGTCTGGATTAAGCAAGTTTTAAAATAAACAATTTAATTATTTTGGTAGTCTCTAGTAGATTTCAAGTGGGATAAGATGCATGACAACATTAATATACTTCAACAACCACTTTCTTTAATATGAATTATTATATTTGGTAATATAATGGTAAAAGCCAAAATATTGATGGAAGTTCTTACCATGGAAAGGTATTCATTCGTACCCTGTTCTTATAAATCAGAATTCCTCCTGACATCACTCCAATCATAATTTCATTGTTACTTTGATCCTTCAAAAAAAGAAAATGACAAATCTAAAATATTGGACTTTTCTTGTTAAATATATATTTTAAAAATAGGATAAGGATTTTTTTTAACACAATGTAACATATTTGAAGGCAGCACATAATTGCATAATATTTACAAACCCACACAGTAATTTTTACCTCACGAAGATAAAGAACATACTTCAATCAAACTTAAATGTTAGAATATTAAAATTCATTATCTACAGTAAAAATGATCTCAGGATTCCCCACAGTGTATAACTGGAATTGACTCTCTGAGACAGAGAATCAAAGGCCTTCTCACCCTGTAGAACAATGAAGTAGGATCTATTCTTTCATTTCTAAATTATTCTAACCTAATTGCTGTGTAAATACAGTGTCAGAATTGCAAAATTAAAGAAAATATGGAAGAATTCAGAGTTTAGTGAAGTGTAACCTATAAAAAAACAAGATTTCCAATATAATGATAAATCCTATAACTAATGTAATACCACAAAAAAATCATGGCAGTAGAGTAGGGAACAACTGTTGGAGAATTTGAATGACTATGGAGAAGAAAATTTGAACTGTGCTTTGAGGAAAGGAAGGGTTTTCATGATAACTCATCCAACTTGAATAGCTAATCTGTACTACTGAGAAAATGTTGAATTAATTTCTCAGATGCGAATCAACCTTGAAATAGTGTTGCTAGTTGACTTGAAACATCCTATAGGCAAGCTAATGCTTTTAGCATTTAGCAACAATGCTTTACCCACTACCATTCATATACTCAGAAGACAGAACTAATTAATGAAATTATAATCAAGATTTTATAATTGTGCCCCTAGAAAAAAAAATCCTTTAAAATGTAGTTTCAATAACTTCTAATTAAATAAAAAAACTTACTAACTTCTGTGACAGGAAAATAAATACCAATGGCCAAAGTAACACAACACTGAGTACTGTATGACCAACTTATTTAGCAATAACCAGCATTATTGTACACTGTTAGGATTCTTAAATCATTTTTTAAAAAATATCAATTAGAAGTTTGGGCCAAGATGGCAGACGTAATATATGTTCCTATTGCTCCTTCTGCTCCCACTCTCATACCACAGAAGATACATAAAAACAATCCGCTTGAACGTACATAATCAACAGACCAGACATTTTGAGAAATTTGCAAAGACATAAAGAGGATAAAATCAGATTTTAGTAGAGAAAAAAATTATAGAAGACCACAGCTTGAATTAAACACAGAAGAGAAAGTTCTGTATGGAGGCAGAAAGAAGGTATAGTCAACAGATACAATTTCACAGACGGCAGATGAAGGAAATAAAGGGAGCCCTCAAATTACTGTCAGGATGATCAGGTAGAGAACAGCTAAGGTAATTAGCTCCTACCAACTCTAGAATCCTGCCCTGTCTGGACTGAATTATGGGACAAGGAAGTATGTGCAGCTTATCTAAAATACCAAGTGTCGGGGCGCCTGGGTGGCGCAGTCGGTTAAGCGTCCGACTTCAGCCAGGTCACGATCTCGCGGTCCGTGAGTTCGAGCCCCGCGTCAGGCTCTGGCTGATGGCTCGGAGCCTGGAGCCTGTTTCCAATTCTGTGTCTCCCTCTCTCTCTGCCCCTCCCCCATTCATGCTCTGTCTCTCTCTGTCCCAAAAATAAATAAACGTTAAAAAAATAATAATAATAATAAAATAAAATAAAATACCAAGTGTGGATACTGGGGACAGAAATTAGAGCAATCCTCAGAATGGATGGAGAACCTCAAACTGAGAAAGGCAAACTATAGGCATGTGTTTCGCAGCAATATTTTCCTTCTCTCCTCCACCATCACTTAAAGCAGGCCATAACAAAGAGAACGCCGACAAGCAAGTGGACTAAGAATCACAAACGCAAAAGGAAGTACACAACCAATGATCACCAAGCACTAGAGAAGAACCAATACATTAAAGAGATATACCAAACTCAACAAACAGATAAATCAATCAAGCTGCTATGTTGACAGAAAAACATGTTTAAAAACAAAAAAGCAAAACATGTTCAGGCTCTCTAGGAACTCTAGTTCTTAAATTATAGCTATCTAGATATGAAATGGCAATTCCCAAGGTGATGCCAGAAGTGAGCAAGATTAAAAAAAAAAGAAAAAAAAGAAGTGTTATGTCCTTAATGGACACAAATGCTACTAATTCTGATGTACAGGAAAATGCATGAAGACCACCTTATTTTAAAATATCTTTGTGTTTCTTTTTACCACTTACTACTACCTATATTATGCTATAAATTATGTTATTTAATCTATTTATTTTTTACTCTTCTTTAGTAGAACCCAAGTAGCAAAGCATAGGGCCTTTGTTTTTTCCACTATTGGGTTCTTAGGTGTGTAGGAAAGTGTCTTGTAGAGTTAACCCATGAACAACACAGGTTTGAACTGTGTGGGTCCACTTATATGCAGACTTTTTTTCAATATAGATTTGTAGAATTTTATAGATTTGCAACAATTTCAAAAAACTTGCAGACAAATCCTGTGGCCTAGAAATATAAAAAAAATTTTTTTTTGTTAGGCATGCCATGACTGCATAAAATAAATGTAGATCCTACTCTGTTTTATTGTTTATTACCATAAAATAACACAATTATATATATGTACATATATATGCATTTTAAGTTTATTTATTTATTTGAGAGAGAGAGAGAGAGAGAGAGAGAACAAACACATGTGGGGAAGGGGTCGGAGAGAGAGAATCCCAAGCAGGCTCTGCACTGTCAGTGCAGAGCCCAACGTGAGGCTCAATCTCAAGATCATGACTTGAGCCAAAACCAAGTCAGATACTTAAGCAACTAAGCTACCCAGGTGCCCCAATACACACAAATATATTATAAAAAGTTAGGATGTATCAAAACTTCTGCACACTTACAGACCACACAAGGCATCATTCACAGTCAAGAGAAATGTAAACATTTGTATGAAATCATAACTGCATAACATTTCCTGTAGTACATACTGTATCACTGTAATAATTTCATAGTCCCCTCCTGTTGCTGTCGCGGTAAGCTCAGGTGTTGCCAAGCATCGGCTTAAAATATGGTGTGACACTAACCATCTCTGCATGTGCGGTTTGGTCTCTCCAATAAACTGCATCTAGTGGCAAAAGTGATTTCTCACAGCTCTTGCTTATTTTTCAACGTGTTTAGTGTAATACCATAAACTTCCAGTAACATCATGGGACCCATAAAAAGTGCTACTTAGTGATGCTGGAAGTGTTCCCAAGAAGCAAAGAAAATCATGACATTATAAGAAAAAAAGCTGAATTGCTTAATAGACTGAGGTCTGCCATTGTGGCTGCCTGCTGTTTCAAGATAAATGAATCCAGCATGAGTACCATTGTAAAAAAGGAAAAGGAAATTCATGAAGCCATTGCTGCAACTATACTAGCATGCACAACAACCTGGTACTTGGTACAAAATGTACCTTTTCATCTCCTATTGAAAATGTAGCTTTTTTGTGGGTAATGGACCGCTATAAGAAAGGTATGTCTCTATCTATAAACTCTAATATGATGTGAGAAAAAGCAAAGTCATTATATGACAACGTAAAGCAAAAAGAAGGTGTAGGATCTAAACCTGAAGGATTTAATGCCAGAAAAGGATGGTCTGATAATTAAAAAAAAATTTTTTTTCAACGTTTATTTATTTTTGGGACAGAGAGAGACAGAGCATGAACGGGGGAGGGGCAGAGAGAGAGGGAGACACAGAATCGGAAACAGGCTCCAGGCTCTGAGCCATCAGCCCAGAGCCTGATGCGGGGCTCGAACTCACAGACCGCGAGATCGTGACCTGGCTGAAGTCGGACGCTTAACCGACTGCACCACCCAGGCGCCCCAGGTCTGATAATTTTAGAAAGAAGTTTGGCTTTAAAAATGACAAGAAAACAGGAAAAGCAGTCTCTGCTGAGGAGTCAGGAGACACGTTCCCAGGTGCCATTCAGAAAATCACTGAGGAGAAAGGGTATCTGCCTGAACATGTTTTCAATGCAGGTAAAAGTGCTGCATCCGGGGAAAGAAAATGCTATAAAGGACATTTATTAGTAAGGCAAAGAAGCAAGCCTGTGGATTTAAAGCAGGAAAGGCTAGGTCACCTCTGCTTTGCGCAAACGCAGTTGAGTTTATGATCAAAACTGCTTATCCCAAACTGCTAACGCTCCACCTCTGAAGGGAAAAAATGAACACCATCTGCCAGTCTTCTGGTTTTACAAGAAGGCCTGGACAATGACAACTCTTTTTCTGGATTGGTTCCATTAATGTTTTCTCCTTGAATTCCAGAAGTACTTTGCCTGTAAGGGACTACCTTTTGAAGTTCTTTTGATACTGGACAATGCCCCTGGCCATCCAGAACCCCATGAGTTCAACAGCAACAATGTCAAAATATTCTGCTTGCCCCCAAACACAGTATCTCTAATTCAGCCTCCAGATCAGGGGGGTCCTTAAGGTCCTTAAGGTCCTTAAAGGCTCAGTGCATACAGTCTCTATGGAAAGGACTGTCCACGGTACAGGAAGGAGCCCTGATAAAGAAAACATCATGCAAGTTTGGGAGGATCTTGAGGATGTCATTGTTATTACAGAAAAGGCCATGAAAGCCATCAAGCTCGAAACAATAAATTCCTGGGGGAGAAAACTGTGTCCAGATAACTTTACAGGACTTATGACAGAGCCAGTCAAGAAAATCATGAGACGGATTAAAGATGCAGGGTCAAAGGTTTCATGATACAGACCTATCAAGAAACTCAAGAGCACCGCACCACAGGATTAACAAGGTGACTTGATAGAGGTGAGTGCTCCCAAAATTAGTGCTAGATGATGAGGAAGAAGTGGAAGAAGCAGTGCAGCAATGAACTGACATTGGACAACCTAGCAGAAGAGTTAATTATTGAAGACTGCTTTTGACTTTTCTTTTGCAACATGGGCCCTTCTATGATAGGAGGAGTTGCAATAAAAATTGCAACTAAAGTAGACATT